AAACCCTAAACCCTAATAGGGTGTTGGGGATCCCAAATGGTCCAGACCTATTCTCGTAGTGCTCCCCTCTTCACACGAGCTATGATCTAAACTCCTTCAAGGGGGTAATACAGGGAATGATAGGGTCTAAACTCCTTAAAGGGGGTTATATAGGGGATTAGGATTTTAGGGTTTAGGGTCTAGGGTAATACAGGGAATGATATGGGGGACTACTATAGGGGTTAAAGGGGGATACTAGGAGCATAGACTATAGCTCACATCAATTAAGGTGGCGGAGGGCAAGCACTGCAGTCTTTCAGATCGATGCCAACGTGTCGTCGCTGTTGACAAGTACATTCTCCTTCGAGGGTGGTCGGTACCTCTCCTCGTCTTGTGGTTCCATTTGCATACACCTATATATTCTGATTTAGGATTTAGAGTGTAAGCTTCAGGGTTCAGGGTTTAGGGTTCTATAGAATAACCAATGTACCCCCAAAAGGATGTGCAATTACGGAATGCTTTGGTATCTTTACTTCCTTGTTAATGTCTAAGATACCCCAGGTACGGATGAAGGGCTCATGCCTTGAAGTTTCTGGGGTAACACCAGGAGGAAGTGGGTCGATTAGGTAGTTGGGAATAAGGGAGTATAGTCCCTATAGAACCCCTATATACTATATTCCTTTTTTGTCCTATTAATCCCCGGTAAGTCTGTGTGATCCTTTGTCACATGCCATCAAGCAAGTTTGTTGCTCCATCTTGCGAGCTCAGCTACGACGGCCCCGATGGCTGGATCGACTACGATGTAGATCCTGGGCACCTGTTCCTCCTCGGGGGATGTACAATTTTTGTGTGCCTGATCCTGGACGGGCTCTTCTGGTGGCAAAGGCTCTTGGTGCTCAGAAGACATGGGTTTTTAAATGTGTCAGTCTGATTCCGCACTTCTTTTACATTCCGCTCACAACCCAAGTGTCTGAAAACCACCAGATCTGGATAAGATTCCCTGCCCTTTATGACCAAGCAGCCGTATTGCTTTTTGTGGCAGCGGTCTTCATGTGCGTGTTCATCTGTGTGGCGGCCACGTCTCTACTCACGAGCCAGAAGGATGCTCCTATGACCATGCTTTGCCCCTTCACGTTCCTGGGCGGAGATCATTAAGAGGCCTTAGGGTCCTTTTGGCTGACATAGGCACTTGAATGGGATGCAGAAGCTATTGAAGAAGCAGCCATTCCCATAACAGCCTGCTAAGACCAGGGCGTTCCTGCGCTGAGGGAGGGAAGACATATGAACTATGGTCTAAACTCCTAGTAGCCCCCTGAATAACCTTTATAATGCTCCCCTATATAATCCTTTATGTAACCCCCTTTAGGGAGTTTAGACTACAGCTCATATCATGGAGGTTCTCGCGCAGCTCGCGGTTTCGTGGCTCCCGCATTGAGCGCCCGTGCAAAGAGGATCGGAATCCGGTGGGGTCGGGCCTGGCCCTCTCGTGTGGAGCATCTTTGAACCGGGCTCAAAATATCGTACATTGCAAAGCTATAGAGCATCAGAGCATCCTGTCGAGACGGGCTGTCGGGGTCAAACTTGTGCGGAGCATCCTTGTATAGTGGCTCGAAGGCACACTCTCAATCGTGCGGAGCTGCATTGTGTTCTGGCTTACACACGCGCTTTCGCGTGAAGCGTCTTCGCACTTTAGATCGTCGTGCGCGAGTAGATAACACGGAGAACATCTGCAGGACCGTGGTTTTAAAGCGCCAGTCTGTGTTCAGGTCAAGGCAGTGGGTTGGTGTTCGCTTGGCCAGGTTGTCCTGCTCTCGCGTGGAGCATGCTAGCAATCTGGATCAAGATTGTGCTTTCGCCTCGCGTTTCGGATCGTTCCCACGCCGTCCCGCCACAATTCAATGCTCCGAACAGTTGCCGCTTTGAGTGCCTCAATGCGCTCTCGTGGAGCGTCCTGCGTCTGGCTTTGGTGCGCGTGAGTCCCAAAGGGTCCAGGTAGGTATTTGGTATATACTTAAGGCCCAAAGGGGTTCCCATATACCTACTTTAAGGCCCAAGTATCTACCGTATAGCTACATGGACCCTTTGGGGAGTGGTCTTGGAGTGCTCTGGGAGTGTTCTTAGCGGCGTAGAGTTGTTCTGGAGTCGTTTTGCAGTGCTCTTGGAGTGCTTTTGGGGAGCCTTCTTCGAAAGCTCTGGAAGTGTTCCGGGCATAGTTCTTGGCATGTTCTTGTATTTCTTTGGAATGTTTTATGGAGTGGCTCTGGATTGCTGCTGGAGTTTTCTTCTAGTGCTCTTAGATTCCTCATGGGGTACTTCTGGAGCTTACAGAAGCTATTCCAGAGCCCTTAGTGATCATGGACTGGTTACGGCCAAGACCGGCCAAGTACTACTGTATCCCTTGATATTCGGAGAGTCCTTCTACATAATGACAGCAAATTACCCCTAAGCCCTCTTCTGACTATGAGGGCTATGCAGCTATACAAAATGAGGATACATAAAATAGCCTTGAACCATCATGTAACTATGTGAGCTACAGTAAAGAAACCTAGTATTCCCCTGATTAACCCCTATAGTAGTCCCATATGTAATCCCCTAGGTTACCCCCTCTAAGGAGTTAAGACCCCAAACCCTAGACCCTAAACCTTGTATAATCCCCTACATAACCCCCTTGGACTATAGGTCATGTAGGCCCTTACGTACCCTAAGCCCTTAACCCTCAAGCCCATATAAACTAGCCATTACTTAGGGTACCCAAATTTCCTTAATTCCAAAATTTCAGTTTTTTAAAGATCCACAATCCGCCCCCCAAACCCTAAGTAATGGTAATGAAGCCCTTTTTTCCGTGGTTGGGGCTCCTTCAACCCGAGGTTCGCCGCCTTCTTCTCCTCGCTGCTGTTCGTGTGGGTTGCTAAGTATCCCAGAAGTTTAGGGTGTAGGGATTAGGACTAGGGGGTTATGGGTTTAGGCTTTAGGGTTTAGGGTAGTTTAGGGAGAGTTTGGTACCCCTGCAGTACCCTTTTTTTCCCTTTTTGTTGGGGTCCCCGTATAAGAGCTGAATGTTGGGAAAAAGAGGTACCCTTATTATGAAGGGAATTGGTAATTTCCCCAAATAGGTGGACCCCAATATAGACCCTAATATATGATTCGCCTTATTATGGAGACCCCTCAAATGGTACCCCTAGACCCCTAAACCTGAACCCCATTTTTGGGAAATCTCCATTTATGGGGAACCTAAGTTTTAATCGCCCTCTACACCGACTTCACCTTTCCTGCCCTGTTCGACTGGGACTTTGACTTCAACTTCTCGTGTCTTGACTTCGGTGTTTGGAAAGTCAAGCTGTTCCAAAACAACTATCCAAAGCTCACATCCAAGATCCGCAAGAAAACTGAAACAAAGTCGTGTGCTACATAAACCTTAAACGCCTTAAACTCAAACTTCTGCTGTAATTTAAAGACGCGTTGCAGGTTCCTGTGTATTCCAACCCCATATAGAATCAAGATAATCATGCCCAACAGGACATCCCGGAATAGATCCTCGGGTTTATGGTTCAGGGTTTATTGGGCTTGTAGGGTTTAGGGATAAGGGTTTAAGAATAAGGGTTTGGGGAAGGGAATAGAAGCCCAGAGGCCCGTGAAAAGGGACAGACCCCCCAAGAACGCCTGGGTAGCCTCAGACTCCCTTTGACGGGGTTGCCTTTAAGAAACCTACTATAATAAGGAGACCCTGTTCTTTACTATATGCCCATCCCTAGGGATCCAAATAGCCCAATGTAGGTAATATTTACAAACTTTGGGGCCCAATGTAAACATGATTTGTATACTTGGACCCCTATAGGGCATATGATGGTAATTACTTACTTTCAATTCTTTGGTATAGTCCTTTTTGGGGGTGTGTCTTATCTTGAGGCCTTTAGGCGTTAGCATTCTACCAAAATCCCCCAGACATGATCATGAAGCCCTACCCCAAGGGCCCCTGAGCCCTCAGGCTTTGGGACTTAAGAGCCTCCGGCTCAGTCCGCCGACCCAGAGGCGGAGAAATCGCGAAAACCTAAACCCTAAACCTTGAGGGTTTTCAGCGGCTGGCACGAGACCAATCTGCCGGGACT